GTTTTGTTTCTATTTTTAATTTTCATATTAATCCCACGAGTGACGCACGGGTCCAAAAGTCCACCCAAAGTTGCCCGGCACATTGAGTAACGGTCTTTTACAGACAGGGTTCCGAAGCCTGTAGGGGATCGTTCGCGACCTCATAACGCAGTAGCCATTCACTCCTCGGCACGATTAACACCTTGAGTTGCGGGTTGTTGTTCGGAGTTTTCCTTCTCCTAAATGGGTTGCCAAGCAACAATAGACAGAGACACGATTGGAAATCAAAGAGAATGACGCTGGTTAAAAAAAAAAAAAAAAAAAAAAAAAAAGTTTACATTCGTTTGTCTTTGCTGTGAAATTTAAAAATAATTTATTGGCCCATCTGTAAATTCCACGATATTCCTTCTTAGAAAGATCGCATTTTCTTTTCATAAATTCATAAAATGTAATATGTAAATGTAAATTCCGTTATTTTTTAAAGTCGTTGAAAATAGCGTTGTTTAAAAAAAAAAAAAAAAAAAAAAAAAAAAAAAAAAGTTTACATTCGTTTGTCTTTGCTGTGAAATTTAAAAATAATTTATTGGCCCATCTGTAAATTCCACGATATTCCTTCTTAGAAAGATTGCATTTTCTTTTCATAAATTCATAAAATGTAATATGTAAATGTAAATTCCGTTATTTTTTAAAGTCGTTGAAAATAGCGTTGTTTAAAAAAAAAAAAAAAAAAAAAAAATGCAATCCTTCCAAGAAAGAACATCGTAGAAATTGTATTGTTTTTACCTGTAATGTTTTTTTTATGCGGGGTGGATATTGAAAACTAAGGGATATGTGAATGAGAAAATTAAATAATTGATTAATCTATCAGTATTATTTAAAGGAGAACCAAATAAATTAAATAATAATAATACGAAGAAAAATTCATGCTTACGCTAAAATAGTAAAAATAACAAAATTTCATATGCGTTAAAAAAAAAAAACTTGGAAGAAACAGCCGCTCAACGAAACAAAACATCACTACACTAGAGAGTATTTATATTAAATTTTTTTTTTTTTTTTTTTTTTTCGCCATCACTAGTCCTAGTAACAAAAATAATTGTCATAAAAAAATTAAAAGTTTACATTCGTTTATCTTTGCCGTGAAATTTAAGAATAATTTATTGGCCCATCTGTAAATCCCGTTATTTTTCAAAGTCGTTGAAAATAGCGCTATTGAAAAAAATACGCAATCCTTCTAAGAAAGAATATCGTAGAAATTGTATTGTTTTTACCTGTCATGTTTTTTGTTTTTTGGGGGGGATATTGAAAACTGAGGGATATATGAATAAGAAAAATTAAATAATTGATTAATCTATCAGTATCATTTAAAGGAGAAACAAATAAATTAAATAATAATAATACGAAGGAAAATTCATGCTTACGTTAAAATAGTAAAAATAACAAAATTTCATATGCGTAAAAAAAAAAACGTTACGTTTGGAAGAGCTTCTTAAAACACGTCATTCTCGTTGTAATCCCAACCGCGTCTTATTATTATTATTATTATTATTATTATTATTATTATTATTATTATTTGTGTATGTTGTGTTTTCCTGTTTTGTATGCGATAGAGCCGGGTTCAAACTATGGTCCTTAGGTTCTATAGGAGACATGTCATTTAATTGATAGCAGTTTTCTTACTATATGGGATGTTCCTAGTACTGCGATCTTCTGATGTTGATGTTACCTGGGTAAAATTACCCATTCATTTTCTCACGAGGCCCAGAGCTTCGATTACTATTGGTACAGTCTCAGTCTTCATTCCTCACACCCTGTTAAACTTGATCTCCGGGTTCTTGTATTTGAACTTATTATTATTATTATTTCATCGTCTCACCAGCAAGATCCAATTGTTCCTGCGGAAAGTCAAGTGACAGCAAGTATTCACACATCTACCGCACCCTCCTCAGTATTCTTGTTGACTTGGACAGTGCTGAGGTTTGAATAACCCCAATTCTTTCTCGAATTTACAATTGCTTTGCAAGTTTCTTCGAAACAATTCCAAGTGCTTTAATAAGAAGAAGTACAATTTTAAATTTCTTATTTACAGGGTTTTTTTTTTCAGATCAGTGACAAGGTTCAGATGTTTGTCATATGTAACAAAGATATACATCTCCTGGGTGATTTTCTTCTTTTACTTGCAATGACCATATTTGTTCTTCTAGTTTGTATTCGCTGGTTTGTTCTGGTGCACGCTAGCATTTCCGCTATCTTTTTTTACCGAATCAAAAATCCTTCAAGTGGTCATTCCCTTTATTTAAAACTTTCATTCAAGGCTTATGATGAGATGCACACCTCTGAATTACCGCAGTATTATTCAACTATAAGAATCATTATATTTTTTGGTTTTGATCAGTCTTTCATCCTCTACTCTGTCCAATCTTCCTAAAGTGTTCCTGCCTGGAAAACCTCCGATGAAATAGATAGGTTTATATCAATGGAAATAAATTGATAGGTGTAGATAGATAGATAGATAGATAGATAGATAGATAGATAGATAGATAGTATTGAAAATAACGTGTTGCAGAAATAAAAGATTATGTCTCAACGACCTCTTGAAGAGAATTTGCTGTTCCCTTAAATTAAAAGTTATCTGTAAGTCGAAAATTCAATTAACACCTTTGTTATTTTCAGCTTACTTTAAAGAGCTTAGCATCATTTGTAATTTCAATCACACAAGATTCGCAAATGAGATTTTGAAAAAGAAAGAAATCCTTTTAATTCCTACTTTCCATCTCCCAGTCCTCTACGGTAGAGGTCGGCTTACTTCTCCATTACGCCACAGAAGCAGATACTTGCGTATTCACAGAATAATCGTTTCTCTCTCTGTCTGAGGCGATATAGTCACTTTGGGCTGAATTTGAAGAGATGATACTTAATATCGCCTTAAAAAAGATAATTCAAATACGACTATCGGAAAGCTTTTTCATTTATTAAACAATATTAATTCTCATGTTTAAAAGCAGCAGAAATTCAGAGGTTTTGTTGGACCAATAAATAAAACGACGTCATATCGGAATTTCTGATTATGGAGAATTTTCTAAGATCTCATCTGCGTTTGAATACAAATAAAAAAAGTAAGGAACTTAAGTTTCAAAAAAATAAAAGAAATTATTAATTATAGCATAAGTATATTATTTCTTTTTGACTAATTTGTATTTGCATACATTGTTATTCTACGACCGTTAAATAAGAAATAAATACTACGGGGATGTTGATTCGTGTTTAGGTAGAAACACATGTCTCCGGTTAAGCATTTTCCTACAACAATAATTGCCGACTCGAATGGAGCGAGTAATAAATGAATAAAGTTAACAACAAAACTATATATACATAAACAAATGATAATGTATTAACAAAGCAGAGGTATACATAGACTATAGAAGATTGTTGTGTGGGACAAAACAATGAATATGAAACAAGAAAACATAATAGTGAAGGTGTTTGTGTAGAAGTCTTAGAGAAAAGTAAATGAAAGTGAAATGAAAGATGCTGGCGGCGTGCGTGAGTGAGTCCGTGCGTGCGTGTGCGTTTCAGGAGGGAATACGTTTCTCCTCGTTCGACCTACATCTTAACCGTATAAGAGGAAAATAGAAAGGATTGGATAACAGCGAATGTCAGTCCTTATTTATAGGCTTAAGGAGCGTCCCTAGTGACGATTTGTTTCTGAAGTAAGTGGGGGTAAACCAGCAATACCACTCTACTGGCATTAAACGAAAGAAAGAAGTCCCTCATTGAACAGAAAAAGTGACGATCTTCATCTTGGAGTAAAAGGAAGGTGATATAAGTAAACATTTACTCTTCTTCATAGTTTTGAGATTGAAAATTTCACAAAATTCCCAGTCTTGCACAAAAATCGCTCCTTAAACGAGTATGAACTTATTATGGTTAGAATAAATTTCAATGAGATTATGCTGTGACTAAAACTAATTCTAAAAATGATTAAGTTTTAGGGTTTAACTCGTGAGTGAGTTCCCATCGGAAACATGTTCGATCATGCGTAAAAGTCAAAATTTCAACGAAACCTTTCCAATTTGCATACGAAATTTCCTAAATTACCTTTGTTGTATACTAAGCTAAGTCAGTTAAGTACTAAGAATCTTGGTTAAAGAGTATGTTACTGTGTATGTGTGAACGGAAACTCTCCCTTGGGTTTACTTGGCAGTAAGATGGCCTTCTGCCAGATTGTATAGTTTGATACTGCCATATTCACCATGACATGTCATCTGCACTTTCTTACCGTTTCGTGTAGTGTTTTTGTCATAACATCGCATCCGCCATGTCTGTCAGCCTCACCTACTAACCAGATTTAGCTCATTGCGACTTCTGATTAATCCACATAGTAAATTCGCTATTGAAGTGTCGTTTTAGGTCGTGGACGAGATTAAGGAAAGCGAAGCAGCTGATGTTGATTCCAAAAGTGTCCTTTCAAAACAGTTTTGATAAATGGAAAGGACGCTGGGATAAACGTGTAAGTTCCCAAAAATATTTCTAAAAAAAAAGACTAAAGCCCTGGTAAGATAGGTCAGCATTATTTTATTTTGTTATCTTTTGTTAATATTAAATGACTGGCTGCTTCAAGGACAAATCTCGTACATTAATAGCTGTGGAATAAATAGAAAAACGAAGGAGCCTGAATTTCAAGATTCTGCAAAGTTTTACGAGATTCGATTGCAAAAAGATGATTATAATGAATAGAAAGTTTAGATACGAAACCAAGTCAGATGAAATAACCATAAATCCTCACTTATTATGTTGGAATAGAACTGCTTCTCTCTTAGAAATGGATAAAACAAAAGTTCCGCTTGCTTGTTCTTTCTGGATGTTCCGGCTGCTGGATAATCTATGGCAAAGGAAACTCATTTAACTTACAGGACTGTAGTAGATGAGGCCTAACAAAGAAGCTTTCCATATGCAAGCATGAAAGGAATGACGAGAAAATCGTACACGGATTCTGGACGGGCTCATTAAGGTGTGGCGAGATGAAGACTTCGCCGAATAGACTTTGTCAGTATCTGCTTCAGTCGAAACGAAAGCGTTTATGGTTTTTCCACAACGTTAGTTCAATGCAAAGAAATTATGCTAGAAATACAGAAGCCGTTTTAGAAGTTTGGTTTCGTGGAGGTTTCTGCTATGGATGAACTCATACCAGATACTAGATTCCATTCCACAGATTGTATCATCATATAACTATGAAATAACAAACCAAAATGTTCAAGACATTACCTGATGTCTGTAGCTCATATATATTTATGAACCCAGCGTAATTTTAAGTGAAGTCACTGCCGATCGAATATCTGTCAACAATATCTAAAAGCAATGATCACAATATTTTCGAGGTTTTTTGGGTTTTTTTTCTGGTAAAACAACGGTTCGATGTCAATGTACCTAACAAGGAACTGGCACATACCATCCAACGTTTTAATTGCAACTATTAGAAAAGTTGTTGTTTTTTTTTGTTTTGTTTTATTTGTTAAAGTATTTATCCTTATGTTTAAGAATAAGCAGAAATTCAATGATTTTGTGGAGAAGTAAAAAAAAAAAAGGAATGGTTTAATTTTATGCTGTGTGATGTTGGAGTAATTGTGTAAGTTCTGTAAAACTATGTTTACAGTTGCTGTAATACTCGTTAGATATTAGACATTAGACTTTCAGCGTCTAATGAGGCTGGGATGCCGTTATTTTGTTTATTAGATTGTAATATGACGAGGAGTTTGCTTGTGGAGTTAATGCTATACTTACTAGGCAAGTATGACAGTATCAGTTAGTTTAGAGTTTTGGCAAGGTGATATACAGAGGTTAGGATTTTTGACATTATGGAGCGCTTAGTTTGTGTGTTTCTAAGTTCCCATATATATATATATATATATATATATATATATATATATATATATAGAGAGAGAGAGAGAGAGAGAGAGAGAAAATATGTGTCAGGATATAGGGACAATTCATTCACTACGTATATTAGAAGCGGTTTTTATTAATCGTCTCTGTGCAGAGAGAAAAAGCATTTTCCTCTCTCTCTCTCTCTCTCTCTCTCTCTCTCTCTCTCTCTCTCTCTCTGTCTTTCAGAAGGTATGTGAGTGATTTTTTTTTCCATTTTATACTCACTTGTAACCATTTACATTAGATTTTTTGCTCGTATATTTCCTTTTTTCCCTTGTTTTTATTAATAAATTTGTATTTTTGTCGTGATTCCTTTTTCTCATTATATTTTCTCGCAATGCGAATTGTTATGTTTTCTGGGTCAAATAATATTTACCAACGTAATCTTCTGACAATGTGTTGGCTGAAAAGGATCCTTTATGAAAGAAGAATGCTTTCATGCATATATATATATACTCGTTCACAATGTTGTGGAGTTTGAAGAATCTGATTTCCGATTTGTTAATTAAGTTTATTAATCTGTCTTGAAAAGGTTGGTAGTGTTTTTACTTATTTTTTTTAATGTGGCGCTCTCCTTGAGGATAGATTCAAGTTGTTTTTTTTTTTATTGTAGTCGGTAGATATTGTGGGGGATCACTCAAACCATAGCAGCAGGAATTAGCCTTATGTTCACGAACATAAAAGCATACTTGACGGGAAATAAAACGTACACAAATAACAGGAAAAACATGTTAAATTGTCTATTAATTTCATAGAATTTATTTATATTTTTGTGTGTATTTGTGTGTGCATTTTTAGGTTACAATTGTTTTATGCTACATGTGATAAAAGGGAGAATTTACTCCGTAGTATTACAAGTCATATCACAGAGAGAAATCGAACACGTGTTGACCGTACCAAGGTTCGTCGTTAAGACGTTGAATTTGGTGGGATGTGCGTATATCCAGCAGGAACAGTTTTTGTTGCATGCTAAGAGTTTATTTATTATTTTTAATTTTTATTTAATTTATTTTATACAACGTTTTTATGTTATTGGTTTATTTTATTTTATTTGTAATTTTTATTACTATTATTATTTTATATTTTATTTTTATTTATTTATAACACTAATATTATCCCTATAATATAAAATAACATTCCTTTTTTTTGACACAAACTCACAAAGTATTGAACGCTATTGGCGATAAGAAATCACTACAAAATAAAAAAAAGAATAATCTGCGTAACAATTGCTAAATGGCGTGTGCCTTTGGTGGGAATCTAGATTAATTTTGCTTGCTACTAGAGCAATTGTTATATTAATCGATTTATGGGTCTTAGTGATTATCACCATATTTGTAGATCAGGCGCATAAGTAGATATTTACTAAAATCAGTTTAGATTTGTAGAAGGCGAAACTATTGGAGCATACAGTAACGATCGCACGTGTCTGTGAAGCTAATTTATAAAACATTGTTCTACAGTAGACGCCCTATTTAAGTTCTTCATGTATGCTAACATAACCCAATAAAATGTTTCCTGAACTATAATTCCCCGGCAACCATTTTTTAATTATTAAGAAGTAATTATTTACTTGAATGTAAAGAATGTTCCTAAGATTTTAGTTAATACTAAAATCAGCGGAGATCGGAGAATGTTTGACAATTTTTTTTTTCTTTGGAACTATTCCGATGTTCAGTTTTTTCTGATTAATACTTAACACGTCACATTGTATAACGAAAAAGAATGAATGAACCTCACTCTAATACATTATGGAAACCATATTCTACATGCTCAGTCGTAGTTGTCGAATTTTTAACTTTGAAGACCAAACTAAAAAAGAAATAGTTATATTCACATCTCTGAAAAATCATTAATTATTTACATTTACGAATGCTTAAGTAAAGACAAATTATTATCTCTTTCTTTTTTTACTTTTTTTGTTTTTTATTTATTTTATTTTATCATTTTTTTTTTAGAAATTACAGATTTTGAGCTTCTTAAAATGTCATTAGGCTAATAGTTCTGGTCATTTTTTTGTTTTTATGCTTCTTCATACAATCATTATCGATATTTCAGTCCATTTCTGTTTACTGACAGGAGTGACAATTCTGGAAAAACATTGCGTTTTTCTACTTCTGAGTAATTAATGATAATTTTGGCAAAGTGATCAAGATCTATCTTTATTATTTCTTTTGTTTATTTGTTTTTTAGGTTCGCAACTTCCTTTGTTTACTTTAAGGGGACTGAAACATAAAAAGAAATATTATTCTCCCGTTAATCATAAACCGGAAGTGTTTACCTAGATGTTCAAGACTGTTATGTTCGTCATTCGAGAGATAACAGCGGGAAGTCTGCAATAAAGGTGAGTGCACTGATTTGTTTGTAGTTGCTTCCGGTCTGGAAAAATCACCATTTTCTACTCGTAAGCTATTTATTTATTTATTTTAGAAAAGAGGGAAAACAAATCATATAATTTGACCTCTGTCTTTCTCGCATTTTGACCTTCATTATCACGTTCAACATCAGCTTTTTCGTCTTTATCTTTGAGATTTTTTCCTTCTTTACTTTTTCATATTTCTTTCATCTAAATTTCAATTGTTTTTCATTACATCAACCCAGACCACTATACACGGCTATTAGTACAGAAAAAAAAGTCCCTCGAAATTTTAGCTCTGAGAATCTAACAAGATAGCTACTTTGATGGACGAATGCAAACAGCGCAGAAATTCAACTCTAACTGTACTTACTATCATAGTTATCTCATTTTTCCTGAACGCCTGAAGCTATCATATTTAATGTTCTGCATGCATAGTATTTGTCGTAAGGTCTGGAACTGAACTATTTTTTATGAAGGTTGGTGACCTGTTATTTTTTTTTTTATTAATATTTCTTTCATTTTCATTGTTACTTTCTATTATTATTATTATTATTATTATTATTATTTTTCTATTCATTCTTAACCGCATCAACCCTTTGGCACTTTCATTTTTTTTCATCTTCTTTCTTCTCCCATATTTCCTTCTACTTGTCGCTCCTCCTGATCGATATGCTTACTGCTATATAACATTGAAACACTGGTTCTCGTCCGATCACCGAAGTTAAGTAACGTCGAGTCTGGTTAGTACTTAGATGGGTGACCGTTTGGAAATATCAGGTGCTGTAAGCTTGAATGTGTTCGTGGTGCAATTGATAACGGCTCAGAAGTGGAAATCAGATAGCAAATTCCAGTCGGTTATATTCACATACGCGCAAATACCCTTAGGAAAGGCATGAAACCACCTCTTCCCCTACTCAAGCCATGAGTTAAATAGTAGGACTAATTTCTGTAAATCAATATTAACTTTTAAAATATTTACATATTTTTTGGTTTTAAAAGGTTGATAAACCGGAAAGTAAATGAATTAATAAATAAAATCCTCCTCTTCGTCTCTTCTTTATGTTTGTTTTCATCTATTTTACTTTATTTGTTTTTAATTCTAGATTGAAACAGATACCAAGAAATACCGTAGCTGTTTCTCTTTTAATACAATGAGAAGGTTCACATACGCACTAGTTTTACCATAAAATAATCATCACGGAAACTTGTTTCGCTAATATCTGACTTCTACATGATACGAGGTTCTATTTTAATGTAAGATCTTAACATTGTCTTTAGCATATACTGCAGTCATTAGAAAATATCTTACTCTCACATTTTACTTATCACTGACGTAAATGTAGTCATAGAGAGGATTTTTCAGTGCTGATGTTGTTTATTATTAGAACTTTTGACCCTAAGTTTTGCAAGCGGAAACCGATGTATCAAATCCACTTAATACATTCACTACACTCAGGTGTTACTGAAAAATCGACTAAAAAGAATAAAGAGAAAAACTTCTGATAATCCTTTTCGGGTATAAAATCTAACCTTTTGCTTTGGATACAAGCACACATTGGTATTTGTTTAACCTGGGAAACTTTCTCAAGATGATTTCTATCATCTGATTCGTAGCACGTTAACCCAAAAAACAATAGAGAAATTATTAAAACGAGATAAATTCATGCCTTTTTTTTTTAGTATTTAGAGCAGAGAGAAGTGAGTAGACACTACTAACATCTGAAATAAATTCCTGGTTTCGTTTTTCCTAAAATATCGTGAGTTAGTACAAAAATAACCACTGGTTCAAATGTGATTTATTAGTTTACCTATTCTAAGTGACGGTGAGTAATTCTAAAAATCCTTATATAGAACATCTGACTTGGTAACTAGAAGCTTAAGTCAATTAAGTGCCATACGTGATACCCACATGGACAATCATATCTCTTTCGATTCATGACTAACTTGGCAAATGATTTTTCCGCAGTAGATTGCCGATTTCTTTTTACGGTAGACTGGTTGTCAACAAAGGCTATAGGATCCAGTCTATCCTGTTATTCAAACCATAGCAGGGCGAGGAGAGATGGATTCATACCTTTTCCCAATGATATCTGTACGAACCCAACTGGAATATTTTGCAACAAACTCGACTGGAATTCAATCTCGGCTCTCCGATTTCTCACTCCGTGCCGTTATTCACTATACCAAACGGCACATTGAACGCAAAATACGCCCGTGAAAGGCTGAAAGGTAAAGTTATCCAGATAGTATAAGAAAGACAACAAAGACAATGAAGTGATTTATTTTTAATCCATTTATATTTTTTATGTGTTATCACCCTAAGCTTTGTCTCTCTAGATATGAACAGATAGGAAATATGTATGCTTTATCAACCTTTCTTATATACGTTTCCTCACATTTATGATTTCAGTCATCCATTTATTTATTAAATTTAAATGATTATTATTTACAAAATCATTTTGTATACAACAACAAAAGTCCCCTTTAAAAAGTTTGCTACAACATTGTTGATTGTTTTCGGCTGAATTAAGCTATGATAGATTGTCTTCGTGGAATACATTTATACTAAACAAAATAAAAACGTCTGGAAAGATGATTTAATTTCTCTTCATTTGGCTGAAATGCTTTCAAATAAAAAGGGAGAAAACTTGGAAAGGGTTGAAAGTTATTTTTAGGTTTTCTTTCTTAACTTGAGTCTAAATCTTAATCCCAAAAGATGGCGCCCTGAAAGAACGTAGCATCCGCTGTGGCTGCGTGTAACGCGGGAAAATATTAATGTCTTGTAAATGACAACATCTGATGCCATAAATCGGCCGACAAGTTTATGTCGATGGAAGTTTAAGATGCTAATCTTTTCTCGTTTTGTTTACTGTTTTTTTATTGGTTACTTTAGATATTTTGACATTGGTAAGAGGAGACGTTTTCCTTTTATAGGACGCTTGTCTTACTTTTCCTTCAATCGAATGTGCTGTTCTTTAACATTATCCTTTTCTCTCTTTCTTTCTTCAATTATTATTTCTCTTTTATTTCTTTACTTTACTACACATCTTTTCACCAATCTCTATCTTTTCTTTCTTTCTCTTTTTCATTTAACCAATTTTTATTCCTTCTTTTTAATTTTTTAATTTCTTTTCTGTCCATATACTCTCTTTTTATTTCAGTTTCTTTCTCTTACATTTGATTTTTCTACCTTTATATTTTCGTTCTCTGATTTTTTTTTTTTCTCTTTCTTTTTTCCTTCTTTTTTTTTTGAACTTCGGTTTTTCTTCATTATATATATATATATATATATATATATATATATATATATATATATGTATGTATGTAAATTATCCCTCACCGATAGCACGTCTTGGAGTTTCATGCACAACGCAATCTTCAGGTGCTGAGTATAAACTATTGTGTTACATCAAGCACTGTTTTATTAACACCCGCTGTATATGTGCAATATATTATAATATTAATTACATTTACCGGCCTGAATATAATAAATAATGTCTAATTAAAAACAGATTATTTACTCAAATAAGTGCATTCATAAAAAAAGGTATAAACAGAAAATATATTAAAATATTTGTCGGATTTAATCAATTGCATATAATATATTGTCATTGCTTACGTTAGGTTACAATTTCAGAGCAGATATGATAGATCGAAAAAGAATATATATATATATATATATATATATATATATATATATATATATATATATATATATATATAAATAGAATATATATATATATATATATATATATATATATATATATATATACCGTTCTTTCCTTTTACTTGTTTTTTTTTCTTTCCCATCTTTATCCGCTTTTCTTTCTATTTCTAATATCCTGTCTTTATTTCGTTTCTTTTTTCCTTTTCTTTTCGTTCTTAATTTCAAATTCATTCAATTTTCTTTTATTCATAGTTTTATCTTTATCATATTTATCTTTCCTTTATTATGTTTTTCTCTGTTCTTACATTCCCTCTATCTCTCTCTTCCTCTTTCTCTCTCTCTCTCTCTCACGATTTCCTTATTCATATATTTTCTCCTTCTTTGTTTCTCTCTTTATTTTCTTTGTCTCATCATTCTATTTTTGCTAGGATTTTCTTTCCTATGTTAAATTTTCTTTAGTCATATTTGTTTATATCTTTTTGCTCCTTCTTTTTTCCTTCACATTCATTATTCATGTCCAGGATGACGTATTGTCTTCTTGCCTTTTTCTTCTTTTCTCCCCTCTTTTCTTTATTTACCAGTTATTCTTTTCTTTCTCTCCCACCCTTACTTTTATTCACCTTACTCCATTATTCTACTCCATTTTTCTATTTTTCTTCCTTTACATTTTCTTTCTTTCCAACCCTAAAATACAGACGCTTTTTCTTAAATTTGAAGATAAATAGCTGTTATTTTCTCCAAATATGATGACATTAATCAAAAACTTCAGAAAATGTGAATCTAAAGAATAGTAAGTTCTGGACTCTTCAACTTATGATAAAAGAAACATCGGCCACCATAAACATCGACAATAACATCTTTACGCAATGATAAAAACAGTTAAAATCGACAGATTTTAATCGGAAGTGCTTTCAAACAACTACATGGTAACGAGTTTTATCAAGTGGATCTTAAAAGAAGTGTTTTAACTTCTTTATTTTTGTATCATACAGAGATATTATATAGTTTACAGTTTTATATACAAGGTAACCAAAAAAGTTCTGTCCGTTTTTTGGTTAGTCATTGAATGAAGTTGAAATATATACGTAATGCGTGTAGCAATTGTTTTCAAATTCGGACAGCCGGAAGTAGGAACATCAGACGTTATAAAAAACATGCGCACCATGCCTGGCTATCAGTTATTAGCTGGACAGCTGTGAGAAGGATGGAAATATCTAGAGATCTCGTTCGGGGCTGTTTGCTTTACGACTTCAAAGTGGGCTTATCAGCAACTGCATCAAGTCGCCACATATGTCAAGCGTTTGGGGATAGTGCTGTGGATGAACGCACTGCAAGGCGTTGGTTTTGAAAATTCAAGTCGGGAGATTTGTCTCTCCATGATGAGCCTCGCAGTGGCCGACCACAGGTCTTGAATGACGGAGTCCTGAAGGCAGCCATTGAAGAGGACAGTAGTCTAACGTGTGGTGAACTTGCAAGACAGTTCAACGTTTCCGATGAAACAGCTAGACGTAAGACGTACAAACTGAGCAAGTGGGTTCTGCAAACGTTGTTGGAGGTCCACAAGGGACAACGAGTGGCAGCCTGCGTACCGCATCCTTATTCAATCGAGTGCTTACCAGTGATGAAAAGTGGGTTCTGTACGAAACTCCCAAGCATTCCAGACATTGGTTGTCTCCTCAGGATGCTGTCCCTCACACCGCAAGACCGCCTATGCACCCACACAAGATCATGCTTTGTGTCTGGTGGACAGGTCGTCAAGTGGTTCATTATGAACTGCTACCAACGGGTCAAACGGTCAGACCTATACTCGCAGCAATTGAAACGTTTGCAACAGGCATTGCGCCAGAAGGATCCAGCATTGGTGAATCGCAAAGGTGTGCTATTCCTCCATGACAACGCCAGGCCGCATGTCGCGCGAGTGGTCAGGGATACCATACAGCAACTTGGGTGGAGACTGTGCCATCCACCTTATTCACCTGACCTTGCACCATCCGATTACCACCTCTTCCACTCGCTGGATAATCATCTTCGTGGGAAATCCTTCACCAATGAAGCAGACTTGCGCAAAGCCCTCACGGACTTCTTTGCATCCAACCCCACCCCCGAGTTCTACCGCAATGGTATTGAACAGCTGGAGACATGTTGGCAGAAGGTGCTGGATGCCGATGGCGATTACTTCGAAGACTAAATATAAGTTACACATACTGTGAAGCGTTTTCTTTTTTTCCTTTAAAAACGGACAGAACTTTTTTGGTTACCTTGTAGGTATGCCCTCTAAATTTTCTGAAGAGTCATTACCATTCAAATAATTTCATCTGTTTTGTTTTACTGGCTGCTTCATATGTTCAACCCAAATAAACGACGCTTTCGGTAAAGTTGAAAATAATCATTATTCTGCCAGCAACAGTTTCTACTGCAGATAAAGGACACATATTTGAATATCTTAGAATACATTACGACTTATTCTAGCTAATCGTATGTGATTATAAAAATATATGCGTAAAATATACATAAAGAGATGCGTGCGTGTGCTTATGTATATTTTTCCTGTTGTTATAGGGGAACTTCGATAGCTGTCGACAGATCCTATATATATACATATACTTACTTAACTAGAATAGCGAATGATCCCATAGATACAAAATAGCCGTCATAATAAATATTCTTCTTTTCTTCGTAGTCTTCTATGTACCGCATCTTTTCAGAACAATTATTATTATTATGGCTCACAACTACTTCTTATCTTTCATATTTCTAAGCAATGGGTATGCCCCAACGCCATTTTATCCCAGTCATTGAACTGACATCCGGTAGGCAGGTTACTCGCTGCTCCCCCCCCATCGCTTTTACTTCTAATATGTTCCTTGAGTGCAAGTAAGTTTCAACTGCATAAACCTTATAACATTTTGTTTACACTTTCTCCCATGATATATCTCAGGTTTATAATATTTAATATGATATCCTCCTATACTGTAAGTAAGTTCCCGCTTTCCTTAAAAATTCAAACTATTTATCCTCTTTCCCATGATATATATCTGGTTTATACTCTCTCCCATAATGTCTCTCATGTTTATACTCTCACCTATAATGTTTTCTTAGTTTATACTCTCTCCCATAAAGTCTTTTTAGTTTATACTCTCTCCCATATTGTATATCTGGTTTATACTCTCTCCCTTAATGTGTCTCAGGTTTAAACTCTCTTCTATAATGTCTCTCTGGTTTCTGGTAATTGTCTCTCTCCGATAATGTTTTCCTTGTTTATACTCTCTCCCATAATGTCTCTCTTGTTTATACACTCTCCGATAATGGTTCACTGGTTTATAATCTATCCCATGATATATTTCTGGTTTATACTCTCTTCCATAATGTCTCTCAGGTTTATTTTCTCTCCCATGATATATCTCTGGTTAATACTCTCTCTTATAATGTCTCTGGTTTATACTCTCCTCCATAATGTCTCTCAGGTTTATAATCTCTCCAATAAGATATCTCTGGTTTATACACTCTTCCCTAATGTCTCACATGTTTATTCTCCCTTCATAATGTTTCACTGGTTTATACTTTTTCCCATAATGTGTGTCTGGTTTATACTCTCTCCCATAATGTTTCCTTTGTTTATACTCTCTCCCATAATGTTTCCTTTGTTTATACTCTCTCCCATAATGTTTCCTTTGTTTATACTCTCTCCCATAATGTTTCACTTGTTTATACTCTCTCCCATACAGTCTTTTTAGTTTATACTCTCTCCCATATTGTATCTCTGGTTTATACTCTCTCCCATAATGTCTTTCTGGTTTATACTCTCTCTCATAATATATCTCTAATAATAATAATAATAATAATAATAATAATAATGAAGACAGCTCTTAAATTTGTTATAAATTAGGGCAATTGTTACGCCACTACTATTTATCCGATAACAGTTCAATTAAATTGCATATTACTAACCAATACAACAACAAGAATTCCAAGAAATGCAAGAATACAATACCATATAAACTGAAAAAAAAGGAAACTACTGCATATATTAGAATCCTTAACCAAAAAAAGGCAAACACCTGAGTATTAATCAAAATTAATTCCGTTTAGGACACAAGCATCTAAAATATATTTCGCAATTAATGAAAAAAAATGACAAGATACAAGCCGATGCTTGAGTACATGATACTTGAAAAAATTGGCACAGCATCCACTGAGGCATGAACATAAGACACTCAAAAATCACATAAAAAACAATGTGTATAAATAGCCTCAAATTTATTAACCAACAAAAATTAATAGATAATAGCTGTTATTATTATCCAGCAAAAGCAATTCTGCTTCAGTTGTTGTTGGGAAATAGTATTTCAACTGAACCTCAATTTGTAATTATGCAACTCACAATGTGTGCATCTTCACCTCAGAGAAGACCAAAGTTTTGAACTATCAACTCCCTTGATATTTAATTCACACAAACAGAAATCCTAAATTCATGTTCCAAAAATCTGCCGTTCAAATGCTTTTTTTCAGATACTAGAATGCTTTTGCAACAGGCTAAGGTGTGTTGTAATCCTCACAGTATTTAATATTGTTGAAGTTATTGCTAACATTTTTGTTTCGTTAAATTTCGCAAACCAATCGATGAAAAAGAAAATTATATGAAGAAAACAATATTTCATTTTTATTGAATACGTATTTGTTATTTTAATTATTAAATTGCTTTTTAAATAGTGTGACTATCTTCTATGTCAAAGAATAAATCTTTTAATTAAAAAAAATAATGAAAATTTATTATACTAAGCTACGTACCCTAGTAAAACCAACTGTACTTTGTACCCACTTACCAATTTGGTTTCGATCGGTCAATGTATAACTATTTTAGAGGTTGTGACAACCAGGCGGACGGGCTAACAGAAGTCATTTAATTTTATATTTAGAACATAGATTCTTTTCGCGTATAACTGTAAATGTGAAAATGAAAAAATCAAAACTGCAACAAAACTAATGTTTTGGGTTTGTTTTAGTTTTTGAGCAAGTTGGAAAATTACAATCGGACTGAATGAAAAGAGTTCATTGCTTCTCATAGAATTAAAGCAAAGAGGTCAAAGTGTGCATTTCACATACTTATTTAGAGAGGTTCCATATTTAGCTACTACTCAAACTGCCCCAGATAACATAGCATCCTACTTAATCTGAATTATTACGATGTTATCGGTATTGTCATTTACCTCCATAAATAATTCACCAGTTTCGTTAAAGTACTGAACATATATATATATATATATATATATATATATATATATATATATATATATATATATATATATATATATATATATATATATAGTCTGGAGAAGTGTGTGTGAGAGTGGAGAGAGATTGTAGGGAGAAACGTGTACGTACGAATGACTGGTAGATAAAGGAATTCGTCTGAAAGCCTGGAGAAGAATTGTAGTCACCAGCTGCGAATAATTCTCAAGAAGACTCTGAAAATGTTTTAATACAAACAAATAATGAACGACAATTTTTTACCTAATAAGATTAGAATTTTCCTGCTTATATGTTAATGTACAGATGCAGTGATATCAGAAAGTCATTAGCAGTGAAAACAGCCGGCGATCGGAGTTTAAATTTTGGTTGAGGTTGTTCTATTTTATTTAGTATCAATTTGAAGGGCATGAATGCATTTTAAATTAATAAAAGCTAGGTAGAGTATTACTAGACAGGAGGATTTCTTTGGTAACAA